TGGATTTGTTTTTCCAATTTTGCTCGGTATATCTGATTTACTTTTAACTTTTTCAGTTTGTTCCTATCTCATGTGCATCTGATGTAAAATAAAACATCTGAAAAATCAGACTAATAATCAATTATAATAGTACTATTATCATCTGATCTTAATCAGATTTGTCAGTTTTAAAAACAAATTTTATTTGCTTTTAATCAATTTTTATCGATTGAGAAATTTAATGAGTCCAAATATATTGAAAAAACATTAAAATCAAATAAAATTTTTTTTAAGACTGAAAAATCTAATTAAGATCAGATGATAATAGTACCATTATAATTGATTATTAGTCTGACTTTTCAGATTTTTTTTATATGAATTCACTCATTAACTTAGCGAATCCTCAATCAGTATAAAGATAAACTGCGGCTAACTTTATTGAACTGTCATCCCTTAGAAGTTCAATCTCTTTATATTTAAAAACTCACGAAGTCAATCGTTAACTCGATAATTGGAACTTTTATATGAAAGTTACGATATGGTACTGATTTTAAAAGTTCGATCAGAAAGGAAATCTCTGATTGCTTTCTCTACGACTAAATTAAAAAGCCTATTATGAGAAAAATTTCTGCTAAAAGTTGCTCCTAAGAATGCACGCTTATTATTCCAAATCAACTCGAGTTCTATCCGCTGTCTGTGTATATACCACAGTAGCAGATAGCATCTTAAAATCTAGCAGGATATAGAAAACTGTTGCTCAAACTTGAACTCTTATTATTCATGTATGAACCGAAATCTGATACCGTTTCAATACTAACAACACTGTTATTTATATTAATTTATGTTACTGCCAAAGTAAATAACTCAAAACTAATCTGCTATACCGAACAAAATTTAATAGCAATTATTCAATATCGGATTTATTTCAAACTCTCTAGTATATTCGTACCATTGATGATTAAGGAGACTCTATAGACGATGATATTTATGAACTGTTTCTGTCTTCGTCGACAACAGAACAAATTATTCTTTTAAAAATGGTATCCGCATATTATGCTTCACATACTTTACATTACGAATCTTTTCAACCAATTTTGTTACTAATTGTCAGCCGAAAGAACAGATAAAGATTTCGTCACCTCATAGAACACTGAACTCGAATAGTTTCGAGTAAGCAATATTAACCATAGAGATGTTTATCCATGAATAATACTATATTTTCTATTTCACACTAATAATATATAATGTTATAAAAAACTTTTTTTTATTTCTTTTAGGCGTAAGAAGGAGAAGTGACATCCTTCTAACATCGTGAAAAAATGAGCGAATTCTATGATACTACTTCTTATATACTTCTTCAATCCATTCATATAAGACAAAGACTATAGACAACCAATAGGAATAAGCCAATCACGAATTATTGTATATAGAGGGCGCTGATGATAAGAATGAAGACTGTCGTCAAAGAATCGCCTAGATATCTATAATGTCTAATTTTTTTATGAATATACATGTAATTCTGCAAGCAGCGTTTTTAATAGCATTTCGAAGCACAGTGTACGCATACACTTTGCTAAGCCAAAAATTTTATTTTCAGAGTGTACTTCATAGGAAAACAAAGTGTATTCTAAAAAAACAGAGTGTACGTACACTTTGCTCTGCTGGTGTACACTAATCATTAAAAACACTGTCTGCAAGTTAAAAATTACTCTTTTTAACTAAAAATTGGTTGCAAAAAAACAACGGTGTGTCTCTCAGTTGCATAGAAAAGGAAATTGTTTAAACGAAAAATTTGATTATTTATTTCTAACCGCCGTATACCTTTTATTAAAGTTATGTTTTAAGTGCAATTGTCAAATCAAGTGATAAACAACGGAAGAAATATAGACTTGTAATTTATTCAAATCGATTTTTTTTGATCGGACGGCATACATACATTCCAGTCCGTGAAGAGGATATTTATCAGACAGATACGATTACTTCTAAGTTATCTTGCCTAGACGGATAAACAAATAAATTCTATATATATATATATATATATATAATCACTCTCTTTGTAATCACTCTCTTTGTAGTCATTCTCTATGTAATCACACTCTCCAGGTTACTCTCACTCTTTTTTTATCTATTATTTCTTTCTTGTATCTAATCATATATATGTTTGTAATCACATATCATCATCCTTTGTTTTCTCTTAGTATATATATATCGTATTTTTTATGAACACGTCATTCAGTTTCTTATCAAACATCTATAACACATACATTTGATTATTATCGTTTTTTTATTTTTTTTATTAAATTTACATAATAATTCCATTATGGCCCCAAAACGTAAAACTGTCTCCAAAACAAGTTGTTCAAAAACCAACAATCAACAACATCGTTTTAGTCAACGAGTTATTGCGATGGCAAAAGATGGCACAAATAAATCTATTTCATCAACACAACAAAAAAAACAATCTCGATCAGCACGACAAAAAAAAAAGTATCAACAGAATGAAAATGAATTTAATGATATTGAAGAAGGTAAGTTATCAACCCTTTTTTGAAGATATATAAGAGATATTGTAGGTACATCAAAAGAAAATCCAAAATCAATGAACATCGATTTTAGTGATGTTGATTCGGATAATCAAGAATTATCCACTTCTAATTCTTGCTCAAATACAAGTATTGCTGGTGATCAAGTTAAACCATCATCAAATGTTGAATTTGATATTGCCGATGATGATGATTCCAACGAGTTTCAAGCAATGTTTATGTCTAATGGATCGTTATCCAAAAGTCGTTCAAATTGTAGTTCAACACCATTAGTTCGATCCGTACAAAATAAACTGTAAGTCTTTTATTTTATTTGGAAATATTTTTTTATAGAATCAGAATTTTTCTCTGAGAGAATTATGAAATTCTTATCAAACAACGACGAATTTATTTCTTTAACGCAAGGAGGTCTCTTACATTTTACCTCTTGAAAAAAAAATAAATGTTAGGAAAAATTTTTCTGAACAGTTCCACTGATTTATTTTTACGTCTAAATACATCTTTGATATCCTGAATTTAGATCTGCCGTTCGTGCAACAACCGAGCCTGCTTCATCAAATCAAATGAAAAAACAAACTCGTGATCCATTATCAACAATTGCCATTGGTCATCAATCAACAATGTCAAATATAAACATGCGAAATGTTAATACACCTACAAATCCACGTATTAGTACAAGTTCATCACCAGCAACACAACCATCAGTTGGAAATCAATCTTTATCAAGTATTAATTATACAACAAACAATACGGCTCTGTTGGAAACATTTGTTGAATATCGAACATTACGACGTGATCTACAACGTGCATTACAACAGAACGAAGTTTGGAAATCTGATTATCGAGCATTGACACGTCAAATGGAAAGACTTCAAAACAATTCATTTCGTACGTATATTTTGTTACCACATTATCTTTATTTTATTTGATTACTCTTTTAGCCCGTCCAAATGCTGATGGTCGAGCTTTTTTGGAACAGCTGTTGGAATCATTAAGAGCCAGTGAACAAATTGCAGATAATCGTACACCAAGTGAAATAGCTAATGCTATTGGCATACCAGAAATAGCCCTGTTATCATCTTCGAATATTGATCCACAAAAAACTGCTTTGAATGTGTTTAATCATATTTTCTCCAGCAACCAAGAAAAAGAATCATTGATTAATGTTGCTAATTTAAATGTGAAGTATCCAAATTTATTAAACAATATACTGGGTAAGTTATCAAATATTCAATTTTTCATTTATTTCTTGTTCGAATTTCTAAAGAGAAGATTAAACTAATGCTTCTTTGCTTTAGTATGGTCGAAGAGATGTACACCCGGTTGTGCTTATACTATGTCTATGTTAAAAGATGCTATTGGGAATTCGATTCGATGTGCTCGACACAAATTGAAGACAGAACAGGCTCGGTTGGCTGTCGTAGTAGCCGGCAATCAATTTGAAGCAATTCATGTGAATGATCATGATGTAGAAATAATGTCACAAGATGATGATTAATTTTAATGGTAATTTTAATTAATTTTTCTTGGTACATACAATATATTTAATCTTTTTTTTAGATATTATGATATTGACTTCAAGTTGTTTGTAAATATACTTTTTGCAACACTATCAAATACATACTATGCTTTTTTTTTCTAAATTTTGTTGCTAAAATTTCTATATTCATTTTTTATTTAAGAATTCGCTTTGGGTTTTTTTTGTTGATGTTAGTTTGTTTTTGCTATGTATTTATCATTTAATAGCTCTTTCTTTTGTTTATACTAGTCATATTGATAATTGTACATTTTTTTTTGGTTTTATGCTGTTACTATTATATTTATATACTACGTATGTGTTATTGAAACTGATTCAAGAACAACACAGATATATTAATTAGGAGACATAAATATATTATGAAAGATGAATTCAATGTTTATTCATAAGTGTTTATTAAGTAAAATCTGCCATGAGTTGCGCGTTAACTATAAACAGATGGTAACATGTTTGAAATATTAATAGATATATTCCCCATTGTAGTTTAAAGCTATATTTTTCGTTTACTAAGATTTCTTTGTTATCTAAAGCCAAAACACCTACTTTTCTTCTTTTCTGAATACAAATCAGATCTCATTTTCGAATAAAATCTAACCCCTATTATTTATGAAGACTTATACGAATATTTTCACTCATTTGACATATTAGATATTAATTGAATTCAAATCCAATAATGTTTTCTACAAGAAAAAAAACATCACGTTTAAATAAACGATTAGCACATTTACGTCGTCGTCATTCAGATTTACATGCTATAATTGATATTTTTAAGTGAGTTTCATCAAATTAAATTGGCATAACTTTAGTATGGCTTTCTAATCTTAGTTACTCAGGTGCTCATGTTTCAACAACCGCATCATCCTCATCATTATTTACTACAAACGATATTCCATCTTTATCTTCTTCATTACTTCCATCAACATCACAAGATCCACTGAATGTTTCACCGCACGAAAGCTGCTGTTCCTCTTCTTCTACTTCCCCTTCTCTATCTTCTTCATCATCATCATCTTCTTCAGCATCATCATCTTCTTCATTATCATCCTTGTCAGACTTTGACAATTTAGATAACGATCCTTATTGTTCTATTAACAATAAAATATTCAATTCAAATAATATAGAAGGTTCAAAAGACACTTTCATAAAATTTTTTACTGATTATGATTTACAAAATCCTTCAGAACCTCTTACTTCAAAAGAAATAGCTGTATTACTCATTGAATTACGCAATCGACATTCTTTAACAAAAACATGTATCACACATTTTTGTCGGCTTTTACAATTATTAAAAGTTCCAAATGCTCCACCAAGTTTTGATAGTATTGAATCTCTAATTCTTTCTGCTTATCAATCAACTACGTTTCCAACTCAAAGCATTATATGTCCTTCATGTCATCAGAGATCTTCCAGTACAAAGAGATGTACAAGTACTCATGATTGTGCATCGAATCATTCGTTCATTTGCTTACCAACTATAAATTACACATTTGCTCTTGAACCACAATTACGAGCAATTCTCGAAAGAAATCAAATTGTATTTTCAAAATTTAATGATGGGTCCATCTCGGATATAACTGATGGACAATTTTATAAAAAATTACTTCGAAAAGAATCAGAACCATTCATTACATTGTTAATGAATTCCGATGGTGGTTTAGTTAAAGCAATTTCTACGTCAATATGGTGTACAACCTTTGTGGTTAATGAACTACCCAGAGTAATAAGATTTCTTCCAGAAAACACGATAATCGGAATGATTTCCACAGGAGCTACAAAACCGAAAAAAGATGCAATGTCATCGATTATGGAAGATCTTGTAAAAGAACTTCATAGATTGGAAGAAGGAATTTCTGTCCTTCTTACATCAGATGATTCGAATAATTTAGAACAACTTATCCGAATATTTTTAATTGGTTGTGTCTGCGATAAACCAGCAACGTCACTTGTACTTAACCATGTCGAATGCACCGGTTTTTTTGGATGCATTTATTGTACTATGAGAGGTAATATTATATACCAATTTGAAAAAGAGATCATTTATTTGATGCACCTTCAAACACTCTGCTTGTAAATTTTTCATATGAAAGAGAACAGCTAATGATAAATATTTTTTGCAATTTTTTATCTAATCAGATATGATTTTATTGTCCCATTCAATTCATTCTTCTCATTGAACTTTTACTAATTCCAGGTAAATCGATAGAAGTACGAAATACAACTATTCGTTCATTTGTGTATGATCCAAATGAAAAAGTCATATTACGATCGAATAAAACCTATGATGATGCTATTGAATTTATTAATAATGTAAGTTAGATCTTATTCTTGGCTACTTTTAAAAGCATGTATTTAGGATTACAAATTAACTAATTCAACTAAGATTTCAAAAGCAGCAGCAAAAGAATATTTACAAGGTGTTAAAGGACCATGTCTTTTACGACAATTAAAATATTTCAATATTTACACTTCGTTTCTTTGTGATACACTTCACAATCTGTATTTAGGAGTTATGGTAGACTCTTTTTTGTCATTTCTTTAAAAATTATTACTATTTTATATCTAGGGAAAAATGTTGAAATTATTCTTATCGAAACGATCTATTATCGAAGGTATATCAGCTGCTATGAGTATACACAAGCAAATAGATAATCTTGCTGAAATTGTCAATTCAATTTCGTATCCTTCGACAACTTATAGACAGCCAAGAGATATTCATCTATTTAAAAAATTCAAAGCGAACGAGTTGCGAATGATTTTGCTATTTGGATATTCGTAAGTTTCATATCTTTTCAAACATACTTCACTTTTAAATCTTATATAGAGCATTTGAAAATTTTCTTGATCAAGAACGTTTTATTCATCTTAAAGTGTTAGCTTTTATAGCACATCTAGTGGAAGAACAAAATCTATCTGAAAATTCCCATCAAGATATAAAATATTTAGCAAGATATTTCAATGAAAAATTCGCATCGCTTTACACCGTGTGTAACACACTTCATTTTGTTTCTTTAAGTATTTTTCTTAATGTAGGAAAGACACGTTGTTTCAGTGGTTCATTCAGTGCGTCATTTTCATTCATGTGTTCGAGACTACGGACCAATGTTTAATTACTCTACCTTTTCTTTCGAATCTACGACGGGTTCGTTTTTAATCTTTTCTTCATATTATAATTTTTGAGCATGTTATTAGCCTCATTTGCTCGAACAATACATGGTGGATTTGCACCACTACGTGAATTGATTAAAAATATCGACTTATGTCGTCAATCATCAATTCATGTTTCTTCCACATCATTTTCAACAATAGCAAAAGAATATGTCAGTGGAATATTTTCTTCACGTCAAATTATTTTTAAACATGAAGATGCTTTACCTAATATAAAGCTACATCAAAAAATCACACCACCACCATCTAATTTCTTTCAGAAATTTCCAAATTCATCGTCATCTAATGTTTTATTTTATAAAACATTATTTCTTGATCGTTTAAGATTTAGTGCTGATGATTTTACAGTACCTCGACATTCTAATGATGCTTGTATTTTGTATCAAACAAAAAAGAATTACAATTCCATCGGATTCATATTATTTATCATTCATTTCATTGATAAAAATGAAATCTATCTATTCTTAAACAAAGTAAAGCTTATATCAACAGCTGACACTGTCGACATCCAAGGAAGAAATTTTAGATGTAATAATATATTAAAAGGTGTAGTTGTACCTGATTCTACGACTATCATTCAACCATCTCAAATTTTGCAAAAACTTGCTTTTCGACCGATATCCAATGATGATCCAACAGCATCAAAAGCTTTCGTTTTTTGCCGATATCCGAATTTAAGAGAATGTTCTTGAACTCCTTTTATGATAAAAAATAAACGTTTATAACTAGATACTAATGTCATCATATAATTTTTAGAAACTCAACATAGTTTCTGGATTAGCTTGAAACTTAAAACAATAGAGTCTACTCATAAAAATGGTCGACATAATTTTTTCTGCATCAAAATGCATTTTAATGAATATTCTTCCATTATGCACTGAAAAATGTGCATTTTAATGGTGGAAATGGTCCGACTACGGATAGTTATGCATTTTAATGACCATTTTTTCATTATTCACTTGATAGGG